ACTCCCCACACATCCAAAATCCTTGAAGCTTTGAAACTCTAAAGCTCTCAAGCATCCAACCCCCACATTCCCAAGAATCCCGAAGAATGGAGAAAGCACTCTTCATTCTTCGTCAAATCCTCCTTCAAGATCAAGCCCCAACGGCCCTTGAAGAACTTCCACCATTATTCAAGATCAAGCCCCAACGGCCCTTGAAGAAAGTGTTCATCATTCATGATCCGTTCATCCTAAGATCAAGCCCCGACGGCCCTTGAAGAAAGTGTTCATCCGTTCATCCTAAGCATAAGCCCCCAACGGCCCTTTGGATCAACAACTCAACAAATCCACACATCCAATCATTCTTCAAGATTAAGCCCAAAAGCCCTTGAAGATCCGCTCATCCATCAACCTTCAAGATCAAGCCCAAAAGCCCTTGAAGAAATCCATACACCATTATTCAAGATCAAGCCCCGACGGCCCTTGAAGAAAGCGTTCATCATTCATCATCCGTTCATCCTAAGATCAAGCCCCAACGGCCCTTTGGATCAACAACCTCAACAAACCTATACACCCATTCTTCAAGATCAAGCCCAAAAGCCCTTGAAGAAAACCAACTGTTCATTCAAGATCAAGCCTTGACTGCCCTTGAAGAAAACCAACCGTTCTTCAAGATCAAGCCCAAAAGCCCTTGAAGATCCGCTCATCCATCAACCTTCAAGATCAAGCCCAAAAGCCTTTGAAGAAATCCACACAACCATTATTCAAGATCAAGCCCCAACGGCCCTTGAAGAAAGCATTCATCATTCATCATCCGTTCATCCTAAGATCAAGCCCCAACGGCCCTTTGGATCAACGACCTTAACAAACCCATACACCCATTCTTCAAGATCAAGCCCAACGCCCTTTGAAGATCCATTCATCAACTGTTCATCCTTAGATCAAGCCCCGACGGCCCCTTGGATCAATAAACAAATCCACACATCTATTCTTCAAGATCAAGCCCAAAAGCCCTTGAAGATCCGCTCATCCATCAACATTCAAGATCAAGCCCCGAAGGCCCTTGAAGAAACTTCCATCAACCTTCAAGATCAAAGCCACAAAGGCCCTTGAAGAAACTTACAACTGTTCATCCAAGATCAAGCCTCGACGGCCCTTGGATCAACAAATCTACATCTTACGAAGATAGAATCAGAGGACCAAATTCGAGAGAGATCGTAACCCCAAAATCATAAACACAAAAATATTATTTTGTACACGTTATTCTTGTTTCTTGTTTCAAGGAACTTTCGTGTTCACACAGATATAATATATAAGAAAAACCAGTGGCATGATACTTACAAGGCTATCAACAGTATAACTTCCTAAATGACCACGAGCATGCTTCGTCTTGCAGTAAGTGCAAGCACCTAAACAACCGACATTAATGGGAAGAATCTCTACAAACTTGTTTTTCCTCACCTGTGGAGAAAAATTCAAATAAAAAACTCCATATCTAGACTAGTAGACAATACAAGGTAGAAACAGAAACAGATTGCAGGAGTGGGTAACAATCAAAGACTAATTTTAAAAGGAAACAAAATAAAATGCAAACACCATGGTAAAAATCCACGAAACGCACCTTGGGGAGGTCAAGTGCGGGCAATGTCTTACGACTCAAAAGGCGCACCTCATGACCTTTCAAAGTCTCTTCAACAATTTCAACCACACGGTCAATTTGCTGGACTCCTACAATACTGACACCTTCTAGCTCCTTTAGATCTCGACTTCCTTGTGGCACACACCCAGCCACCACCAGGGGCTTTCTTGCACCTTTACCTTTTGCTATCAGAGTGTCCATGGCAGACTGACTGGGAGATTTGACAGTGCATCTACATCAAGTAACAAAACAAATACATGGAGAATTATGAGTTAACAGATAATAAAAGACATCATTCATAAAAATTAAAAAATTGGACACATATAAAGAGTATCTTAAATGTAAAAAACAAATAATAATAATAATAAAAATAAAAAAAGTCAACTTCAATGAAAACTTCAGCATTAAAGGAAAGGTGAAAAAGCACACATAGGGAATAGTTGACTTAAATATAGGAATAGCATCTAAAACAGGTCTACTAAAGTTCAAAATCTACTATGACACAAACTATAAACTTCGTATTAAATTCTAGCAAGTGCCAAAATGATTTCCCAAAGACTGAAGCGCTAAATACTCCCTAACTTTGATTATAAAATATAATTACATAATTGTTTCAATGTAACGCATGACCAAATCCACCAAAAAAAATGAGACAAATAAAAGAATCCTCACGTGTTTATGAGCCACAGGTCTGCCTCCTCAGGATTGTCACTTAACGGATACCCGAAAGCTGAAAGTTGACCAGCCATATATTCACTGTCACTCTGACACAACAACAAAGTGCAAGGGGCAAAAACAAAAATGAGAAATTTAATGCATTCTCTAATCAATAGAAAATTTAGAAAACAATGATGGTGACATGACCAGATCTCATGCTAATATAACATTAATGGTCAAGCAAGATAAAAAGGTGAACAAAGAGCTGGAGTTAACATTAAGTTTAAATCCATTGACAATCTCCCTAAAAGTGTGAAGTTCTCAGTACACGGTCTTTTTATAGATGGGAAAAGAAAATGTAAAAATACAATAAGCAACCCATCATTACCACTCCATACAGTACCATCAGAAAGGATGCAAAATCCAAAGTAAATAGAACAAAGGAGTTTAATACTCCAACCAAAGAAAGGGGGCCTTTATCACCATAGAAATCCTACTTGTACCCACAATGACAACCTAAAACTTGGTATCAAATTATCAATAGATCAATTTGAAAAAGGTTGATGAGAGAGGATAATCTATTGATAGGACTTACCCTGAAAATCAACAACTGCTTTATTAGGATCCTGTCCACCCAATGGCTTTCCAGGCAACGCTTATGATCACTTAAAACTCCACCAAATTCTATATATTTAATTCTAAGAAGCTAACCTGATATAACCCGCTCAATTTGATGTTCTCTAATCTTTCAAGCCCCCTCCAGCACTTTTTATAGATGAAATAATATTTTCAGTTCTTCGGTTTCATAATAAACATATGGAATTGGAAACTGCTTAAATGGCCAACCTATGTGGCAACTTTTGTTTCCCAACCTATGTGGTACTTGATGTGCACACTACCTCAGTGCATTGGAAAGCCAACCACGTTACAAATGCCAATGGGACAATCCATGAGCATCTCCAAGGGACAAGGCAAAGGAAGAGGCAAACCATATTTACCTTGCAACATCATCTTTTACCCTCTCCAATGCATGGCATTTGCCTAACAATTCGCCTCGTCTGTTGAAGTCACAGATTTCTGATGAGGCAAATGTTGAAGGCAAAGTACCACATGACCATTGACTAGAAAGTTTGACTGTCCTATGTCATAAAAAAAAAGGCTGAGAATAAAAGTGCAGCATCCTCATAAAAACATAGCAGTCTTCTCTTCCCGTACGGCTTGAAGAGCAGTAGGACACGAGAGCGATTAAAGTTTATTATCAATGAATTATAAGCAAGGAACACATTTTTATGTATTGTTTTCATCCCTTAATTCTTTCCACAAACCGCATATACCGTTCAATCCGGCTTCCAACACACGTGATCAAACCATTCTCAACAACTCAAAACTTAACAAAAACCGAAACCCGGCCCCTTATTATTGAACTTGAAGCCAAAACTAATAACATCTTGTTAAAATTGTAGAGGCAACAACCTGAATGGTTTGCCTAGTGATCCCAGTATAAAATGACAATGCTAATTTCAGAAAGAAAGAATAATACTTGAATTACAATAGAAAGAAACCCTAAAACGGACCTGGTTGTGTGAGCATCCAAATGTTTTGATATATATAGTCTGCCAAAAGAGAAAAACAAGGTCAGCACTAAGCGAAAGAAACCATCTTTAGAGACAGGGGGAGAGAGAGAGAGAGAGAGAGAGAGAGAGAGACCTGAGTGCCAGGGACTTTGGGAGAGAGAGGAGCGAGTGGGTCTTGGATTTGAGATAGCTTGTTGTTGGTATTGCAGCCATTGGGATTGGGTTTCTTCTTTGGGTTCATTCCGACGGTCTTTATTGGCAGACGAAAACCGGGAGGAGCTCCGCCTCCGCTGCCAATCAGCAGATCCTCAATGTCCTCCATTTTCTTAGCTTTCTTAGTCGGAGTCTGAACCAAACACACAGCAACGAACGCCTGCGAGAGTTGAGGCTTCTCAGTTCGAACGCAGTGACGACGACGGACAGAGTGAAAGGTTTATGTAACACTTGCTTTTTATTTGGACCCACTAAAAATCGGGTAATACTGAACTCGCCCATGTTTTATTTATTTCTTTCAACTTATGTTATGCAGTTGGAAAAATTTGACAGTGTTGTAAATATCATTGATCGTGTGGCTGTCCACATGAAGTAAATACGCAATATGTAACTAGTTAGGAACATTTTATGTAAAATTTAGGGTTTAGTGACTTTGGTGAGAAAGAACGAACACTCTAATTTCTCATCAGTCACAAATGCTTTCTTGTTCTCTCTATTTCATATTTTATTTCCAACACTCATAAGCATGATAACGTTCATGATTTTAACTTCTAAATAAAGAGATAAGAGAACCACATGAATACAACAGGAGCTGTAGAGAAGGCAACCGCCCTCGCGCGAGGGTAAAGAGCATCAGTAGTGAGTTCACGGCACGGAGAGGAACTTTTTCTAGTGGAAAGAGATTTCTCTCTGAGAAAAACATATTTCTCATCCCAAGTGCTCTCTTGTTCTCTTGGTTAATGTAACTTTTAGGTATTTGATTACACGTTTGAACTCCCAATCTGATATTTTTGTCAATTATTTAGCCTCTCCATCTTTGACATTGAACTCTCCAAATTCACATGGCACGACTGCCACTTCTAAATCCAATTCCATCCATATACAACGTTATTTTGTTTTTCTGTTGTTGTTGTGGCCACTTTTACCGACGCATTAACGGATTAAACTTGCAACTACGCAATCCCTTCCGCATTATAATTCGAATGAGCTTTACAGATTGCTTGGAGCAAATTCTCCATTTTCTTTTCTCAATATTCTCATTTGCCAAGTAAGCGCGAGCCCTTCCACGGTAATACATGAAACAAAAATATATCTATTTTCCAGTCATCGCCTTCATCCGGCTCTTTTGTTTAACCTACAATATGCATACCTTTAATCCTTGTGCAGTCACAGAACACTTGCTGCTGCTGGTGTTCCGAGCCCTCTGCCAATGAGGTTTGGCAGGGCGAAGTGGGCTCTTGTGTACCTTTATAATCGATCCTAGTATGTTTTCTTTACACAATCGGGACAAGCATTACAGGTTAGTGCGCTTTAAATAGAACAGCACCCCAATGCCTGTTAACACAGCAGCACTTGCCAGAACTCCGGTGTGCAAAGACGTCCATCCCATTCTTTGGGTCGTCGTTGTTCCTGACCCTGATACACTTCGGTGGCTAGAATCAGAGAAGTCCAGATGCAACCTTAGAACCTGAGATAGAGAGAAATAAACCATACAGCTTAAAAATAGTTACACACAAATTCCAATACATCCCAAAATAATTACACATATATACTCCAAAACATCCTTTAGTGATCTGATCCTACCATGAGCAATATGTACAAGTACAGCTCATCAACAGTCAAATTCAACAAGCTACGTAAACGTGCCTCACGGTGTCATATTCTCCATTGAATTCCGGTATAATTGTTAACATATTGAAAAAAAATAACCAAGTAATTATCTTTTTAAGTATTTCATTTTTTCCCTCATGAAAAACTTCTCTTTCTCAGTGTAATTTAAACGCTCAGCCCTTCATCCCCAAAACTATCAATATAAAAGTTTCTCAACTGCAAACCATTATTAAATGATCATTTGCACTTGGTCAAAGTGCAGTCAAGAAAGGAAAGGTTTTTTAATGGCATTTGCCGGGCTTCTAATTAAGAGATTTAACTTCTAACCAAATCAAAGTATCAACAAATATGTTCACAAGTATTAACAACTACATAAGGGGGGAGGTCATTAAAAGTTTAATTTATAATAACTGCGGCAAAATGCTTAAAAAGGCCTTAGAAATCCAATAAAGGAGCGTATAGTTATGCTACCTTCAGTCCCATTCCTCGAGCATGGCTGACTGCGCTAATAAGATCATCATCAGTTGCAAGTAGAACTCTATCACCATCTTCATCTTCAAACTGGGGGGAAAAGAATTACTAAAAGTAAACACTAAGAAGTTTTGCAGCCCAATAAATCAGATGAAACCAAAAATTAGCTCAAAGCTTTAACCAAAATGTGAGGATGATCATGATCATCAGCCACACGGATTCTTTTCATGATAGCAGATACCAGCTCATCTAAATTTTCCATGCCTGAAGAGAATAAACAAAAAAAATACAATCAGGAAAGGCAAAAAATAAGGTCATTGTGGGTTCAATTATAGCATCTAAACATTTGATCTGTAAACACACAAAAATTAAACCACGTCCATTAACTCAGTCACAGAGCTCTCCCCACACACAGTGCTGATCTAGCCCAGTGAAAACTAAACCCAATCTGCCAATCACCACCAATGGGCAGTAGTTATGGACACTTCTAAACCAAACCACAGAGACTAATGTATCACCGCACAGCAAATTCTATGCCATAACTAATACCCCTGTCAGACCGAGTCCACTGCTGCGTACCACTCATGCAAGCTTCCATTAATTTTCCCATCCACAGATATAATCTAACCCATTGATCACTAATTAAATGAAAATTCGAGATCCCAGTTTTCTAGACTCTATAATAGTAGGAGAGGTGGAATTAACAGATGCCACATACCAAATACGAACATTTTTTTACAAAGGAAGACTTAACCTTCTAAATTTTGAGGGGTGAAAAGTGAGCAACCTGGCATCAATTTGGCATCCATATAAATAAAAAAATAAAAAAAACTCAAGAGTGCGTAGTAAAATAATAAGGATAAACTTGATAGTTTGACGCAGAGAGGGCACAATAGTTTAACAATTTGTAATTGACCCAATTCTATCCTTTCACTAAGCAATCACTCCACAAATATTCATGCTAGAAATGGTATATTTAGGTCATCAAGCAAGGTGATGGCAAAGTATGCTGGCAATAATTTTTGGCCTTCGACCACCACTCACCACAATTAATTCGATGCACTCGACCCCTAAGATCTTCAAATTTGAAGGCAAATGAATCTCCAAGACCAAGAGAAGGATAAGAAAACTTTCCATCAGCCCCATCAGAAGCCATCACTGTAGACAATTCACTGAAAACAAAAAGCCCTAAGCATGGTTACTGAATAACCGGGTTACCCAAAAACAGAATCAGTGATGAAACATAATTACAATATGCATCTGTGCAAATAATTTTTCTTTTCCATAGTTTCGTTATCTCAAAATGTCCGATCAATCAATCTCACATCAGCACTGGATTTTATAATTCAGTATAAAAATTGGGTAGGTGAACCTAATTTAAGTGACGTTATTAGCAAGTTTTGAATACCTTTGAGTATCACAATCATCAGGTGGCTCCAAAGCAAGTGCTGAATCCCAGAATTTTTGCATCATTGTGTTTGCCATATCATTAACCGTTCCTGAGCTACTTTCAACCTAGGAAAGGAATGAACGACAACTAATTAATCAATTTATCCTTGGAAGTTTTACAAAAGTGATAAATGAGAATATCCAAGGGGCTTTAAACAATGCAACTATCATTAGAATTAACCCAGGTTTTTTTCTTCCTTCTCACTTTTGGCCCAATTTGCAGTTATTTCTTTTTGTTTCAAGGCTAATTTTCCCTTGAAGGCAAATAATGGAAACAAATTAAAAGTCCTTCAATTCAATACATTTATAGCACCCAAATTTTGAATTTTAGTTTCAAACATTGATGGCCGAAAAGTTCATAATTCGCATGCACCAAATCAAAAAACTCAGGCAACAACCATAAGTATAATGCACATAAGAATCTAAGATACATATAATCTACGTAGTCAAAAGACAAAAATCAAGACTAACATGGCAATCAAGGAGGAAAGATGCATGCAGAATTTGTAAACCATATAAGGAACGAAATAGAAATAGAAGTAAAATAAAATCAGACAACTATGAGAAACACACCCACAAGACACGTTAGGCCAGCTTCTATTATACCATAATTGGAAAATTAGAAACATAAACCAGTATAATGCATTGAATTATATATTGGGCAATCCCATCCATTAAAAGTTCAATATCTTCCACTTCAATGAAAAATCAACATCTTTCACATACAAAGGCAAAGGAAAAAAAAATTAAACTAAAAATTTCACTCTGATGATTGAAGCACGAATCTAAACCACAACCGCAATGACTTTACCATAGACACTGCCGCATGAGTTATCTGCAGAACATCCAAGCAAGCAGCAATGCATCCATCTGCGCAAACAGATGTCAATACACCTTATAAACACTAAAATATGTCCTTAAAATGTACCACTCACCTCTGTCTAAGACAGGAGATGTAAGAACTTCCCTTCATGCATTATATGCAGCGCATCAAGGATCGTTGTCTCTAACGAGGCACACTCAGGGTTTGGAGTCATTACCTAAAGAAATTATTTGGATAGCACAAGTTTGTTCAAGGAAGCTTATTTTAAAAATGGAACAGAGCTATATACTTAATACGAAATATAGAATAATCAAACATTCGATGGTTTAGAGTAAACCTTTTCCACCAGAGTCAACTCAGGAGAGACATTTTGCGCCACAACTCGCATAAGGATATCCTTGGAACTGCAGTCAGTCAAAAGCAAACATCATATGATATTCATTAAAAAGAAGACAGACAACATCCAAGAATAACATCTAAGTGCACAATGTTCATAAACAAATATATGGTAAAGAACAATACGTTAGTATCCCCTGAATCTTGTTGCCCGTTATAATTATGACTGAATTAACCCGAAACTCCCGCATCCTTTTTGCTGCAACATAGACAGGATCCGATGGAGAAACAACAGCAACCCTGAAATCATAAAGCTACAAGCTTGGCAATAGAAAATAAACTTTAAACAAAAATCACAGCCAAAATCAATTAATTGCATCCTCCCACAAAGAGGGCCAAATGGCAAGTCACGCTAAAGAACTGTACTTCGTATTTTCACCAATGATGGTTGACAAGGAAGGCTTGAACATTCGATCCCTCATAGTTTCTAGAAAAGCATATGGAGCTGCAATACATGATGATAAACAGAACAAAAAAAGTCAAATTTTACCAGATGTATCATATGTATGTACCAAAATAATAAACAAAGAGGATCCGTTACAATACAGTGCAGGTTCTCTATAAAGCAGAGGTGTTTCAAAAACATTACGTAGGAAGCAACTTCCAATCAGACTCAAAGTAATTTAGTAAGATTTTTAAACATTATTACGGACCAGAAAAATTGCCTCCCATCTGGCGTTCAACTCCTTCAACTGCAGCAGCAATGGCACTCCCCTGCTCCGCTGCCTTCTCCAATCTTGATATAGCATCGTAGAGACATTTTGTGATATCTAACAAGGCAATAACTTCACCACTCTCTACAACAGGGAGGTGTCTGAATTTACCTGTCAACAGAAAAAGAAAAGAAGTCACCTTTTTATGCCCAATGTAGCCATAACAAATGAAGATTTCGAAGCAATTCTTAGACAAATTCACACACAGACAAACGCAATAAAAATCGCCAAAGAAATAAAACCTTGTTAGATAAAAAAAAAAAACTAACCTTGGATCATCTTCTGAAGAGCTTCAAGAGCAGATGAATCAGAATTAACAAAAATAGGATTCCGCGTCATGATCTTTGACACAATTGTCTGCTCCGGTCTCAACCCCTCGGCAATGACTCTAGCGGAAATGTCCTGAAAGCAAAGTACCATAAGCAAAGCTGACACTCAAAAACTCACAGCAACAGCCAATTATGAGTTATAAATTGAACCTTGTCTGTCACAATTCCGGAAAGCAACGCATTTGAATCAGTTAAGAGCACAGCATCCACACGGCGAGCCGCCATCCTCCGACATGCATCGGATACTGTTGTCCCCTCGGGAATAGTTAGGGCTTTCGACAACCGTAGCTTCTTCACCGTCCTCTCCCCACCACCAGACCTTTTTAAATATTAAAATTAAAACACCATTTCGGTAAAAAAATTAAAGGCAAGTTTTGCAGACCCCAATTCTCAAACTTGAAATCAGCTATACAAACAAAGGCAAGGAAATTTTTCCGGGAAACCATTTTCTCGGGAAACAAACAAAGAGCAAACGAGAAAGGAGAGAAAACTTACGAAAGGGGAGGAGGAGAGGAGGGTTTGCTGGTGGTGCCATTAGAGGTTCCATTCTCGGGAGGGGGAGATTTCTTAATCGCGGCGGAGGGGCCGCGTCTTTGGCTGAGACTGGTCCGCCTCACACCCACTTGACTGCTCATCTCTCTTCTCTGCGATTATTAGGGTTTCTCTTTATCTGGACCGCAGAAACCCTAATTTAGTTGCAGTGATGAGGAGGGAGATGGAGAAGGAGAGAAGGTCAGTGTTTCGGGTGGGTTGTGGCTGCCTGTCTCCAACCCTCTCTCCCTCTCTCCCTCTCCCTTCCTTTCTTTTTGGGTATTAAAATTGGAGTGAGACGGAGAGTTATTGGTAATGAATTCGGATCCTCTATGTGAACATCTCGGATCCATCGATTATATATTCATCGTACGGTCATAAATTATTTTAAATATTTTTATTTAAAATTAAATACAAACAACTAAAAACTGACTGCACAATATACGATGAATAAACATGATTTACAAATCCTCAGAATCTTCACCAAAATAATCCTGAAATGATCTTGTTGGATTTGTAATTGCCAAATCCCACTGACTTGACAGTTCAAATTAAACATGAAATTTAAGAGCAGGGAGAATGATAATTATCAGGAAAATGCTACTTTTTTATCATATTTTTATACTATATTTGTACTATTTTTCTAATAATGATAAGACTAAGGTTCAAAACTCGCATCGAGCAACACTGGCAAGATCTCCGAATCAGGCCTGTCAGGCTCAAGTAGTCGTGGCCCACCAGGTTGCAGCTCCCAATCCATCAACCACTACAAGTCGACCCGCACTTGAGCTAGCGCACCCAACTTGGCTCTACACCTTCAGATCGGTCTCATAACCTGTTTAACCAAATCAATTGCCTATTGCTGGACCTGTTGACCTGATAAGCGAACCAACAGTTGAACCAAGGTTTTTCACCTCCTTTTTTGACAGATTTGACCCTGCCATAATGCACTTCTCATGAAGTATCCTGAAGCAAGACAAGAGTTGATGATGGTATATCTATCCAAAGGTGTCCCAGCAAGTAACCACTCAACCAGCCTCGAACGAGTGTTCAGGCAATGTGCACCCCTACCTTGGACGCATATTGAGGCTACAATTAGATTGCCATGTATGTGCCAGACAAGGAGAATAATGTGTTTGTCATTGAGCGAGACATCTGCTACTATAAAGTCATGCCCTTCGACCTCAAGAAGGTAGGAGCGACTTACCAACGATTGGTAAACATGATGTTTAAGAAGCAGATCAAAAAAACCATGAATGTCAATGTTGATGACATCATGGTGAAGGCAAGCAACGGTCAGACCACATAAAAAACTTGGCGAAAACATTCAACATCCTCTTGGAATACAAGATGAAGCTCAAACCCACTAAATAAACATTTGGAGTCTCATCAAGCAGATTCTTAGGATGCCTTCTTATCTAACGAGGAAATCCCCAACTACTATGAACAAGATCCAAAATATTGTACAAGTTCACTTATGCAGAATTGGATCCTCTCCGGACCCATTTCATGTGGACCTTGCAAACCACTTTATCCTAACTGATCACCATACAACAAACGGTCGATAATTCCAATCATTTTATTTTGGCTTTTTTTATTAACATCTCACAAAATGTTGAATGCACCCCACATTAAATGACTTATGTACCCTATTATGCAATGACAATTTCAACCTTATTAGGTTTTTAAAAAAAATAAAAAATTTCTAAAAACACCCTAAATCACTTTTAACCTATTATTTATCTTCTTCAACTATCAAACATCTCACTCTCCATTGTTAAACAAAACCCTAACCAAGGTATCTCGTTATTTTATTCTCTAATTTTGATTTCAAAGGATATTAGTCCAACATATTTGTAAGATCCCACATCGTCCAGGGGTGAGGATCTTGTAAGCCTTATATGTATATTCCCATCTTTACCTAGCACAAGGCTTTTTGGGAGCTCACTGGCTTCGGGTTCTATCGGAACTCCGAAGTTAAGTGAGTTCGGATGAGAGCACTCCCAGGATGGGTGACCCACTGAGAAGTTCTCGTGTGAGTTCCCAGAAACAAAACCATAAGGGCGTGGTCGAGGCCCAAAGCTGACAATATCGTGCTACGGTGGTGGATCGGGCCCATGATGTGGTGGGGGCCCGGGTGGGGATGTGACAATTTGGTATCATAGCTAATCCCTGGCCAGAAGTGTGCCGACGAGGACGTTGGGCTCCTAAGAGGGGTGGATTGTAAGATCTCACATTGCCCAGGGGTGAGGATCCTGTAAGCCTTATATGTATATTATCATCTTTACCTAGCACAAGGCATTTTGGGAGCTCACTGGCTTCGGGTTCCATCAGAACTCCGAAGTTAAGCGAGTTCGGACGAGAGCACTCCTAGGATGGGTGACCCATTGGGAAGTTCTCGTGTGAGTTCTCAGAAACAAAACCATGAGGGCGTGGTCAGGCCCAAAGCGAACAATATCGTGTTACGGTAGAGTCGAGCCTGAGATGTGATGGGGGCCCGGACCGGGATGTGACATATCTACTTGTGATTTCCCAGGAAACTATACTACCCAAGCCTATTATTGATTGATTTAAGCTTAATATTTATTTACAATTCCCAGAAAACCCGATTATCTGAAGGCTTTTCTCTTAGGAAGTTCTCACTATTTTCAATAGTGAATTACTACAACATAACTTATTCCATTCAATGGTTAATTACTGCAATATAACTCATTCCGTTTAATTGGCGGCTCTCAAGTGACTATTTTCTTCTCTCTACATCAATCACACAGGATGTTAGAGTTTTACTCCAAAGTCAATTTAATTTATAAAAATTAAAATGAGTATTATAAGATTTGAAGAATGTGGGGTGTGTAGAAAATGTAAGGTTTATGCTAGGAATGTGGGGTGTTAAGTATTTTGGGAAAGTATGTGGGGTGTAGCAATATAATTTTTAATTGAAAAAACAAATGTGAGGTGTATTAAGTATGTAAGATTTATTAAAAATTATGTCGGATGTTAATATAATAAGTCTTTATTTTTCTTCTTTGCGCCAAACTTTGTTTGTTTTGGGCATGCCTTCGTCTTCTCTCTCGCCTTCCACACCACAATTCATTGAAGAAAAGATTAAGACCTTCAAGATTGCTGCAAATCTACAATTTTCCATCCTTCCACTAATTTTCAATTGCAAAAAAAAAAAAATCTGGAAACTCTTTCGATTTTCCAGACCTTCAAGATTGCTACAAATCCAAAATCAATTTCAACTACAAAAATATGAAAACTGTTTCAATTTCAACTTTTAATTTCTTGTTGTCATTGTGTCACGTGTATAAGGCCCTTCGTTTTGTGTTTCTCTTTCTAAACTGTCGATGATGGGTGACTGCCGAGAAGGCAACCGAGAAGAGTTTGGTAAAAGTGAGCGAATAGTTAAGAAAAGAAATAGCTTTAATCCTTACCGTCCGTTATCTATTGAATAGTGAGGATGTAGCGATGTCAACGGTTCGGTTTGGGGACGAAAATTCTATATCCATCCTCATAACCACGAAAATTAACCATATCCATAACCGCAAATTAATCATCGGGGATTATCCATAATCGTATCCACCGGGTAACGGATTTTCAATCAGTTATCGGTTATATCTATATTCGTCAAAAAACAAAAAAGAAAGATTATATTTATCCAATTGACACATTATAAATTTTAGTAGATACTAATTCCATCATTAAATAGCAACATCCAATTACAAAAAACTAACAATATATTTGAAGTTGTTCAGGATAACATGCACTAATTTCTTGACAATGAGACTCTTGAAGAGAGATGAATCTGATAAACTTGTAATATTTGATAATTGATATAGAAAATGATTCAATGAATTAATTTGGTTGAGTATAACAATAAGAGTATTGAATTGATGAGGTTGTTGGTATGCCCCATGCATGATGTTTGGTGCATAATAAAGATAGTATATGGTTTGATGCTTGCATAATGAATTAGTATATAGAGGGTTCGGTAAATTTAATAAAATTATATTATATATCAAATATATATATATATATATATTCGGGTCGGATTCGGGGATGGATACGGATTGGGGACCCTTATAACCATATCCAGAACCATAATCGAATAAAGTTCACGGTTTTTACCCATATCCATACCATACCCGAATTTTCATATCCAATTCCAATCCATTTAGGCGGTTATCCACGATTATCGGGTTTAACAGTTAAAATTGCCATCCGATGGTCCATATGAAATGGGTTTGGATAGGATCTAACTCCCACTTACGTGTCGGTGATCATAAATCATGTCTTGTGAAGTAAGCCCCACTTCTTAAGTTACTAGAGTTAGAACTTCATATTTTCTTTTTCAATTGTTTAGAAGGCTAAAGGTTCAAAAGCCAAAAAATAATTTGATTTGCCCAAAAATTCATTTTCAATCAAAGGTTGGTCTATAATTATATGGAACCCTCTATGCCTTTATTTGGTCAAAAGGGCATCAAGCTGGCCAAATATAACCCTGTTTTTAGCTTTTTTTTTGGGGGCCCGACTTCTCAGTTATAATAATTAATTCAAATCTAATAGCTAGATTTGAAAACATCCAAAGGTAGTTTATTTAAATTAACTACTAAGTTTAAAGTATAAACTTAAAACTAATAAATTATTGAGGGACTATGTTTAGCCCTTCAATTGGAGATGATATATGACCATCTCTAACTGAAGGGTCCAGAGGGCTAAAGGGCCAAAAATAGTCTGAAAACCATCTCCAATCGAGGGCTAGACCAAAGGGCTCGTGGATCCCACTGGACAAAAAGGATCAAAGGGCCAACCGACTGACCCAACTCCGCCAGCCGGCCAACCTTGGGCTGGCTAGAATTTTCATTATTCCGACAAGAATGGTGGGCCTTTTTATTTGTTTTTTTTTTTTTTACAAAATTAATTTTTTTTAAAAAAAAATTCTATTTTTTTACTATAACTTCCAAGCCATTATACAACATTAAATTGAATTAAGTAACATGAAACAACATTAAACAATATGAAACAACATTAAATAACATTAAATTTAAATAATAAATTATGTTTGGCCCTATGACCCTTTGACCCTCAGTTAGAGACGGTTTTTTGTGACAGGGCTAAAAGGAGCCCTATGACCCTTTGGCTCTTGGTTGGAGATGGAGGCAAATATGACCTTATACTGTTCATTAAAATATTAATATATTGGAGGACCAGATGGCTAAAACGAGCCATCTGGCCCTCGTTCGGTTGGAGA